TCCCACCCAGACCCAGCTTTTTTATCTTGTCTGTCTTTTCTCAATCCTTCACCACCCTCTCTCAGGCTCACCTAACCTGGCTGAGCTGGCTCAGCACATATGGTGCCCAACATGGGGTTCAGTATGCCATGGCCGTGCCGGCTTGTACCTTTTGAATTGTGGAGTAAAGCTTTATTGTCTTCTGTAGATAATTATTCTCCTGTTGAGAAACAGCTTTTGGCTTGCTCTTGGTTCCTAGAAAAGACTCAATGTTCTATAATGGGCCACCATGTTATCTTCTGACCTGGGCTTCTCATCATAAAAAGTATGTTGTCTGGCTCACAGTTATAAATTTGGAGGTGTACAGCAGCACCTTCCCATCAAGTAGAAGTGTAGATACACATCTCTGTCTATATTTCCCTCCCAAAAAAAAGAATAACTAGGTGCATTTCTCAAAGTTCTTTTAACTGGGTGGCTTTTGCTTCACTACTATTCTATATATGCAAGGAAGCAGGTCTTGAAGGCACAAGAAATGTGCACAGGAAAATTATTCAGATGCCTATGGCTCCTACTTCGATTGCCAGACTTTTTTTCCTCAATTAGTACCTATAGCATCATGGTGACTGTCATGTGACCAACCATTGACAAAAACAAAGCTTACTTACAGATGATTCTGCATTATATTCTAGTAACAATTGAAAGTGGGTAGCACCCCTCAAGGGTGAGCCTAAAGAATAGTAGTGAAGCAAAATCCACCCAGTGAAAAGAACTTTGAGAAATGCACCTAGTTATTCTTTTTTTGAGGAGGGAAATATAGACAGAGATGTGTATCTACACTGTTCTATGGGCAATGACTAACAGTTTAACTGGATGGTCATAGAGTGGAGGTATAAAGTTGGAAAACTGTTTACAAGGAAGTCTGGAGAAGAGATAAATGAATAGAACTCTCCAAATTGGCACAAAATAGGAGGATATTTGTATCCTATGCAAATGCTCATCTAAGGGCTACCACAGCAGAGATGACATTCAATAATCAGAGGGACAGTATGACTCAATGTGTGGATGTCAGTCAGCCTCTTTCTCCAGGCACACCTTTCCGTGACCAATGTGCTTATGATCATAATGGCCATAACCGCAGGGATGAAGACTGTGCACTCATTAAGGCTCTGGGCTGCAGCCTGTACTGAGTGACCAACCTGCTAAAAAGCAAAGATCAATACTGATTTCCCCCAAATGGCGCCATTGACGAGGAGGGCCAGCCAGCTGCCTGATGGCAGCAATTTGTTCTTACTGAAACAAACATTTATTATGGATATAGAGGTGCCTTCCCTGTCGGCAAAGCTCCTACTAAAACCACTATCTATGAACTTACAGAATACTTCATTCATTGCCAGCTTATTCCACACAGACATTGCTCTTAACCAAGAAAATAATGTTATAGCAAATGTAATGTGGCATTTGGCTTATGCCTGCAGAATTCACTTGTCTTGCCATATCCCCCACCACCCTGAAATGGCATAGCCTTTTTAAGATGTGGGGCTTCAGCTGCTCGACAAACTTTAGAGTACTGGACAAATGTCCTCATGATTCCGTGTATGCTCTAAATCAGCAACCAGCATATGATGTTATTTTACCCATACACAGGATGCATGGATTTATGAACCATGGGGTGAAAATGGAATTGGCTCCTCTCATTATTACCTTTAACAATCCAGGAGCAAAATTTTCTATTCCCATTATTACAACTTGGGCTTGCTGTTTCTAAGATCTTAATTCCTAGCACTGGGGAATATATAATAGATGTTATAAACTAGAAACTGCAACTGCCCTCTGGCCACTATGGGCATCTCATGCCACTGAACCAAGAATGAAATAGATGTCACTGTAATGTGGTAATCCATTCTAATTATAAAGGGGAAATGAGGTTGCTACTACAAAATGCAAGTAAATGGGGTATGACTAGAACCCAGAATATTCTATGAGATGCTTCTTAGTACTCCTATGTCCTATGGCAAAAGATAATAGGCAACTAAAAACCCAATACAGTCAGGCTTACTAATGACAGAGACCCTTCAGGAGGATTTGGGTAGCTCCACTGGGAAAGAAACACAACCAACTGAACCACTTTCTGAAGACAAAGACTAAGGAAAGTTTAGTAGAATAAGAAAGATACAAATACCAATTGTGGCCAGATCATCACTTGTAGAAACAATAGCTGTAGTAATTACACTCATTTTATTTATTGCTTTGATTTATTTATATTTACGTATACTAGAGGCTCGATGCACGGAATTCATGCAAGAGTAGGCCTTCCTTCCCCTGGCTGCCAGCACCGGCTTCCCTCCGGCTGCCAGCAGACACCCGGGACCCGGGACCTGGGCTTCCCTCACAGCCCCAGCTTTGTCCAGAAGGTCATCCAGAAGGACATCTGGAAGGATGTCCGGTATTGTTCTTTTATTATTATAGATACATTAATGAATTATCCTTTTTTTCTCTCATCATGGTGATATTATCTAATATTAGATATTTTAATAATGATTACCTGTCTATTTCACTATTTATAATATAGGATTTCAAGGGGGATAGGAGTAATTCAGCTGAAGAGGGTTAGACATCACCTAGATATAGTTTAAATGACATATGGGACTTTAGTCTCCTCTTTGGGATGAGGGTTTGTTGGTCTTTGGTTGTTAAAGGATGGTTGCATTGTGCTAATTAAAAGCATGATGTTGTTATATTCTTAATTGAGGAGTTAAATGTGGTTAAAGGAATGGGGCACAGATGTCACATTTCCAAAGGGGTCTAGCTTGTTTCTTGTCAATTCAGTAGCATCTTGACAATCTCCTTTTGACCCTGGAAAATATGTTTCCTAAAACTCTTCTTTCCTATATGATTCTGGATTAGAGTTTTTCAATGAGAACAACTTTCTTTAGATTGGAAGGTGAACATAAAGCAAAGAAGTTTCTGGAAGGCATTGCAATCCCATAGGGTGGGCTTCCAGACTTCATGAGCTTGCACTTACCAGTCACAGAGTTTTGAAAACTTACCCATAAGTGGTACTTCCCTTTCTTGATTCCTTTGCTTCAGTCTGACATGTGTAAGCAGGTTGATACTCCCCCAGTTTTTTCCACATTTGTGTAAGCCCTGTCTTTATTATTAAACATCAGTTATATTTATTAATCCTTGCAGTGTCTTGATTGCCTTGACAAACACAGGCTGATACAATGATTGATCCTCTACTGCCGTTCTATATTCAGTACTCTTTGGCAGTTATGTCCAGTAATGTAAAACTGCAAGTAGAAATGGATACTAGGAAAATTCTTTGGTAAAAAGAAAATCGGTGCCCTAACCCCTGATAAGCAGGTCCTATGAAGAAGTCAGGAGGAAAACTAAGGAAAGGTCAGCTACATGGACCGGTATAAAATGGTGGAGGGACTGAGGTGTCCAGACTTTACCCTCAGCACACCAATAGCACACTGCAAACACAAATGACTCTAGGCTTCACCTGCTGTTGGGAATGAATGCAATTACTAACATTTTTTCTGGCTTTTGTCAGAGGAGGTTCACAGAAGTGTGGTTGAAGCTACCAATGAAAGATACCAACAGTGCAGCTTCAAATGGATTAAAAAGACACGGTGTGAAAATGGGGGTACAAATACCCCAGCGTTATTATAGATCAGAACTAGAACTAGGGCAAAGCTTATCACCCTTAATGTTAAATTAACACAGTGAATTAAAATCGATTAATGCCTTAATGACATTAGCAGCAACTACATTACTTTGGTTCACAAAGTGAATATATTTCTTATCTCAAATTCATTTCTCAGGTCCACCGTGTGTATCCAATTTAGAGTGTAGAGTTTCTCACTTAATAGAATTTATATTCCTATCACTATTTATCAAGCAACCCTGAAATTGAAATGATTTATTCAGCAAGGCCCTTCTGTTATCCCATTTTATGGGTATAATAATTCGATTTAATTGTCAACTGTAAAAGTGATAAGATTTAGAGAACTTAGTAATTTGTCTTTTTTATGGTAGAAACATTTCACCATGGCATATTTCTAGTGAAGTGACTAAATAGGGGCAAAATCATTTTCTTAAAGAGAAAAAAATTACATAATTATCTCTGATGTGTGTGTGTGTGTGTGTGTGTGTGTGTGTGTGTGTGTGTGTGTGTAAATGCTAAGCCTAAGGTGAAAAAAAAGTTGAATGATTAATATTATAACTTGGGCACCCATGGATCCATGTAAATTAGTGACACTGAAAAAGTTTTGATTATACTACTTGACTGTACCGGTGGTAGATTCTTCCATTAGTTGCTTTGGATACTGTTCTTATTCTGGACAATAATCACAAAACCCACCAAAAACAATTGGAGATCCAACAATTTTTACTGGACTGTGCACTCTGTGAAAACACTGCCCAACTTCATCGATAAGCACAGTTGTATGTGTGCACACACATGTACACACCACACGTACTGCACACACATCCACACACATCACGAAACAGAAAGTGAGTCAAACAAATGTCATTTACTTCCAGCTGAACAATCAAAGCAGTTTTCCATTCACGCGACAGGCCTGCTTGTAGCAGAAGTTCCCAAGGCTCCTCTCACTTCTGTCAGCTCCCAGCAGCCCTTCCCTCGAATGGGATCTGCTGACAGGGCACCTTCTGGACACTTGCTGACAGGGACAAGGGGCTTATGGGTTTTGAATGGAAAGGATTTGCTAAGTAAAGCTTCGGTCTCTCAATCTCACCCCTCTCCCAGAGGTCAGGGCGCTGAAGTCCTTATTAGCTATGGAAATTATAAGGTGAACCAATAAATTATTTACATTTTAGAGCCTGCTGCTTGACACTGATTCCCAGTTAATCCCAGTTAGGACATTAAGCTCATGCCATTATATTTTAAAATGAAAATGCAGAGTGAGAAAGCTTCTCTTTCACAGCCATGTAATTAGTGCTGGGTGTGCCCTTCTGGTCCATTGTCCAAGATTGATTCTTACCTATAGTAAACCTCGACACATCATCTTAGTGACATTAAGTCTACCAAGAGCCAAGGCTCTTTTTCTTCTAGGAGCAAGTAAGTCTAGCTTCTTGGCTAATATCTTTAAATGTCTTTTATTTCCTTTTTATTCCTTCTTTGGGGTTAGCCTATGATTTATTTAGTTTATCTAGTTTATAATGGTCATTAAAAAGGAGGTAGTTAATACCAGTGAAAAACACAATTTTAAGATGGGGGTGGCTTTATTTGGGCTTGATTCTTAAAAAGGATGATTTTTATCTTATAAAATTCTGATTATTGCTCTTATTCCATTCATATCTTTGAACTAAGAACTTCTGACTCTTACTTTGGCTAGTGACTTTTAAAATGAAAACAGCTTCAGGCCCCACAAAGCTCTTTCAGAGTAAATGGTCTTAGATAACTTCACCTCCATTATCTCTCACTCCCTAATCGATTTTGAACTGAATTTATTGGGGTGACATTGATTAATAAAATTATGTAGGTTTCAGGTGCATAATTCTATAATATGTCTTCTGTATATGTATTGTGTGTTCACCACCGAAGGTCAAATCTTTTTCCGTCACCACTTATCCCTCCCCTTTATCCTCTTCTAGCATCCCTAACCCCCCTTTCCTCCTGGTAATCATGAGGTTTTATTGCTTAATCCCTTCATCTTTTTCACCCAGCTCCCCTCCCCCTCTCCTCTGACAGCTGCCAGTCTGTTCTCTGTATCTATGTGTCTGTTTATATTTTGTTAGTTTATTTTGTTCATTAGATTCTACATATATGTGAAATCACATGGCACTTGTCTTTTTCTGACTGGTTTATTTCACTTAGCATAATGTCCTTCTGGTCCATCTATGCTATTGCAAAGGGCAAGATGTCCTTTTTTACAGCTGAGTAGTATTCCATTGTGTAAATGTACAACAGCTTTTTATCCACTCATCTACTGTTGGGCACTTGGGTTACTTCCATAACTTGGCTATTGTAAATAATGCTACAATAATCATAGGGGTGCATATATTCTTTCAAATTAGTATTTCAGGTTTCTTCTGGTATATTCCCAGAAGTGAAATCACTGGGTCATAAAGCAGTTCCATTTTTAACTTTTTAAAGGAATCTCCATATTACTTTCCACAGTGGCAGCACCAATCTTTGTTCCCACCAACAGTGAATGAGGGTTCCAGTTTCTCCACATCCTTGCCAACACTTGTTGTTTGTTGATTTATTGATGATAGCCACTCTGATAGGGGTGAGGTGATATCTCATTGTGGTTCTAATTTGCATTTCGCCAATGATTAGTGATGCTGAGCATCTTTTCATATGTTTATTGGCCATCTGTATGTCTTTTTTAGAGATGTGGGTCCTTTTAGGACCTATTTAGGTCCTTTGCCCATATTTTAATTTGATTGTTTTTAGTGTTGAGTTGTATAAATTCTTTATAAATTTTGGATATTAACCTCTTATCAGATGTATCATTGGTGAATATGTTCTCCATTCAGTGGGTTGTCTTTTCATTTTATTGATGGTTTCCTTTGCCACCCTTTAACCTAGGTGTCCCTTCTTTATGCTGTCTTAGCTCTAAATATTTATAAATCCATATTGTAATTCTTGGTTTGCTCAACTGCCTCCTCCTCTATAGTATAAGTATCTTGAAAGGTGTATGCCTTTTTTATTCTGTGTCCCAAAACCTGACACAATTCCTGGGCATAGATAATTCGTAACACATCTTCGTTGGATTAAAAAAATGAATGAACATGAGCGTGGTGATGATACAGACCATTAAGCACATAACCTCTTAAATGTAGTGCATCCCCCTTGCCCACAATGTTTGTTGAGTTTGTTTTCTGTCAGTATATAGAACAGTGCTGTCCAATGGAAATATAATATGAGTCACAAATGTGATCCATATGTGTGATTGAAAACTTTCAAGTACACACACATTTATTTAACCAAATATGTAAAAATAAATTTCAACATGTTGAAATGAGATATTTTGATTCTCTTTGTTTTGTACTCTCTTTAAAAGCTGGTGTGCATTTTACATTTACATCACACCTCAATTTGGACTAGATGCATTTCAAAGGACATTTCAGACATTCCTAATTTTAACAAAGACTTTTTTATTGTGTCTCCATTTAACAAGATGGTAGATTTGAAAAAGAGGTTTGTATATTTTATCATCCTAAGGAATTTGTTATGTCTTTCCTTGCAAATAAAATTTTTATTTATTTAATGAGTGATATCAGTTGAAATTTATCAGATATCTTTCTAGCAACCAAGGAGGTAATATAATTTTATTTTAAATAGCTTAATATTGTGAATTATATTTGTAGATTTTAAATGTTAAACAATTTTTCTTACTCCTAAAATAAAGTCTAATTTATTATATCATATTTTTGAAAAACTGGACTCTGCTGTTATTTTATTTGAAATTTTGCATCAATATTCATAAATGAGATTGAGCTATAGACTTTTTTATTTTTATTATTTTTTGCCAGGTTTTATAATTTAGAAAGTGAATTTTAGAGCTTTTACTCTTTCTCTAGTTTCTTAAACTGTTAAAACTGCATCAGAGTAAACTGATTCTTCAAAGAGAAAAAAATTCCATTGTGTTTGAGCCAATTATTATTGTCTGGGCCTATACTTCAAGCATATTGCTACTGGGCCTGTCAATGGTCCCTCTCAGCCATATTCATTATATCCTCGACCAGAGCTCTAACACTTAAAAATTTCAATAAGAATGGTTTCACTACTTCCATGGACTCTTTCTGGTTCTCAGTGTGCTCTTTTGTCATAGCAGTCTGCTCTCATTTATTGCTGCTGTATCCCTGAAATTAAACCAAATGTAAAACATAGACTTTTTTTTTAAATGACTCTCCAATTTTCTACATTTCCTTTGCTTTCAGTGAGGATGTTTCCTCTGCTTCAGTGAGCTGTAATTGTTTACTTTTTCTTTTGGAACTGCTGATTCTTCTCATGTATGCAGTCTTTATTGCTTATCTTTATCAACCTAGGTCTAGATCAATGGTCGGCAAACTGCGGCTCGCGAGTCACATGCGGCTGTTTGGCCCCTTGAGTGTGGCCACGAAGTTTCAATCACACTGTACGTGCGCGCCCACATGTGGTATTTTGTGGAAGAGCCACACTCAAGGGGCCGCAGTTTGCCGACCACTGGTCTAGATTAAGCAGTACCTCTGGACTAATATATGTTCCTTCCACACTGTGTAGGTTTGAATACGTGGCTCTCTGGGTAGGGATGGACCAATGGGTGGCAAACATATGAGGGCATGTCTTGTCTTAGGTGTAAGTGGACCAACAAGTAGGGTATGCCTCCCCCTTTCCTCTCCTCTCTCCACAGTGAGGAGGAGGAGAATTACAAGGTCTACAAGTTTCTCTTTAGATGTAGTGAGTGAAAATCCTATATAATAAAAGCTTACTATGCTAAGTGTCTGGCCAGCCAGTCGGCCATTCAACCAATCAAAGTGTAATATGCTAATGATATGCTAAGGCTGCTCAACCGCTCGCTATGACATGCACTGACCACCAGGGGGGCAGATGCTCTGACCGGTAGGTTAGCTTGCTGCTGGGGTCCAGCTGATCAGGACTGAGTGAGATGGGCCGGACACGCCTTGAACCCCTCTCAGGTTCCTCTCAGCCCCGATCATGCACCAGTGGGGTCCCTCAGCCTGGTCTGCACCCTCTCACAATTCAGGATCCCTTGGGGAATGTCGGAGAGTCAGTTTTGGCCCAATCCTGCAGGCCAGGCCCGAGGGATCCCACTGGTGCACAAATTCGTGCGTTGGGCCTCTAGTATATAAATAACTTCTCAAGTATGCTGAATGGGGTAGTGTGGCATTCTGAGTCCCTCTGAGATTATGAATCCTTTTGTAAGTTTTACCTTAAATACACTAGGTAATGTTGATGTGGTGCAAGTTTTTGCTTTATAGTTTCTATCCCCACACTTATTCTGGTAATAGCTCCCTTTCTTCCTTTGACAATGCCTTTTCTACCCCTCCAATCAAGGGGTTCATACTCTTAAGGATTGGTTCTTATAGAAACTTGCCTATCTTCCTCCCCGTGTTTATTCACATTAGTGGCCATGTGAGTAAGTCCAATGTAATTTTTGGCTTAAATAAGTCCAACCATGAGACCTCATCAAATCTGGCCCCATTGATTAGCCCAAAGGGTGAACAATAATTCAAGCCAGGTCAAGCAGAGTCCTTCCCAGGAATATTTTTGAATAGATCTGGCATAGGCCAGCAGTGGAAATATAAGCTTAAAGGATTTAACTGACCAGCTCCTGATCACATGGAGAAAAACTAATACGAGGAAAGAAGCTGATGTACTAGAAGAAACAGAGTTCTGAGTACTTGGGTCTGGTATCCAGTTTCCTGGAGCACCTTGGTTCTTGCTTTCCCTCAGCTGTGCTGTCCTTCATATAACTCTGCAAGCTACCCAAATAAATCCCTATTTTGCCCATGTCAGATCCAGTTGTAGTTCTTCATTTTAACCAAGAGTATTTAGAGTATGCGTGTGTATGGACTAGTATGTTGCTCTTTCAACTATTTAATCCCATGGAAATCTAACTCTTCACATGGGATCTTTTATTAATTTCCATGGGGTCTGAACAATATTTTCCCTTCTACATTCATTTGAATTGCCTCAGCGGAACAGTAAGAGGGATATTGGATACATTATTTAAACTTTCCTTCTATGTTAATTTTTTTCCTCCTTCCTTTGTGATTCCGTTCTCATTAATTTCTTTCACTTTCTGAAATATGAACTGATTTTCCCCTCAAATATTAAAATTGAGTGAAGAAATTAAACTATATAGTTAGAATATAATAGGATTTTATTCCAAAAACAATGTGGAACAGAGCATCACCACTGTAAAAATCTTATTTCAGAAACAGTTTTAAATGTCTAGTGACTTTAGTAATTCAGTTTATGGTCTTGAACTAGTTGCAGGCCGTGTGTGAGCACTTGGTGTGATCTGGGTACACACTCATTATCCTGGATTAAACTCTTGGACAGTTTGGAAACTTTGGTGCAAGTTAATAATTTACCGAATATTTTCCACGGATCCTTTGACTTCTGTTAGACTTTCAAAAAATATTCCATTAATTACAGCATAGGAAATATAGTCAATAATATTGTAACAACTATGTATGGTGCCAGGTGGGTACTGGAAATATCAGGAACACTTTGCAATGTATATGAATGTCTAACCTGAAATTCATACAAAATAATATTGACTGTAAACTGTCAATTTGACAAATTGAAAAAATTAATTAAAATATACTAAATGAGAATAAATGCATCTTTAAAAATATTCCATTATATTAGCAGCTATATATTCTCCTTTGCACTTGTTGTTAAGCAAAAACTATATTGGGACTGATGAAATTTAGGGCACAATCTAAAAATACCTTGTTCCTGAGCTAGCCTTCCCCCCACCCCCCAAAAAATAAAAAACTATGAGAAGGCATTGGCTGGTGTCACTTGGTTGGAGCATCATCCTATACACCCAAAGGTGGCAGGTTCGATTCTGGGTGGAGAAGTGTGCAGATATTCTTACAATTGGTGATAGTGCCTTCTCAATAAAGTTACACAACGTTTATCCAATCATGGGTCTAGCTAGCCTTAACACCTTTAACTGCACATCCCTTTCTTGGTGTTTATCCAATCATGGGTTTAGCCTTAACACCTTTAACTGCACATCCCTTTCTTGGTCCTTCTCTGACAATCTAGACACTTTAATTTTCTTATAAATACCCACTGATTAAAAGAATCTTTGAACTCTCTTTCTGTCCCTAGCTAGTTGCTTCGCTGCAAGTCTAAAACAAAACTGATATGTGCCCTATTGAATCTATTTGAAAGGTTTGCTCTAACACACTCTATAAAACTTCATGGGGTGAGGGAAGGTAGGCAGCCAGGGCTTCCCTGGCTCTCTCACCCCTTACATCTCTGACAGGCCTACTATCCCAGCATCTCAGTGCTTGCACTTACTTCCAGATTTTATATAAGCCAATTTTCTTATTTAGAACTCTTGATCTTATCGAGAACGGCCACTCCAAGCCCATTCCAATTTTATCTGAACTCTAAATTCATCTCTGTAAGAGAAACATCCCTAACTAATCTCATTTGATTCGAATCTTCTACTTAGCAGCGTCTCAGAACTCTCCAACATGTTACATTTCCAGATATGTCACCTGGTCTTTCACTGAGTTGTTCTCTGTGCATGTCATATAACTCTAACTTGGCTGCAAACTTCTTTGATGCCTCCAGCAGCCCTTTGGTGGTTTATTACAAAGCTAATATGGAAGGTTTATTATGCTCCAGACACAATGCTAAGTAATTTACTGGTGAGGTATTTAGGACTCTGCTTAGCGCATAGTAAGCCAGTACTAAAGGTTTGTTATTAATACTATTTATAGCCCTATGAAGTCAGTATTATTATCTTCTTTTCCCAGATAAGGAAACTGTGAGGCACAAAGTGTTATATAACTAGTACGAAGTCATAGAGTTCATTAAGTGGCAGAGACAGAACTTGATCCCTGTCTGTTTGGCATTATTATCTATTCATGTTCTTAATCAGTACAACATTTTTGGCTAAATACACACACACACACACACACACACACACACACCAGTCTTTTTTTTTCCCAATAATACTCTTGCTGTTTTCAAAGTAGTATAAGTTGTACTCAAGACAGGTTTTTGCTCAGAAATTTTTTCCTCTTTTAAAATTCAACTGCCTCGTAGCTATAAGGAAAAAGGCACAAGTATTTGTATCTCTCTGGAGAATTTCATTTTAATATTTAGAGGCCATTGATATACAGTATGTGTCCTTAGAGAGAAGAATGAGTTTTTTTTAACTTCTAAGTTGCTAAGGAACTGAGTTTTTGCTTTTTAACTGTTAATATGCTATTCCAGTCAGCTTCTTTAGTTATATTTTCTCTAGTAGATCCAACCACCGATACCTCATATTTGCGCTGGTGGAAAAAACAAGACTATGTCAAGGGCTGAGCAATATTAAGAGTTCATGGGTACATTTGTAACATAAATGATTAATCGTACTAGAGGCCCAATGCTGATCATGTAATGCATCTTGCTTCTTCACGTTATTTCAGTTGGTGCTCACAATTGCTCTGGGACATAATGACTTTTCTCCTAAGCACATTGCTGGATTGTTGAGGGAGAAATGCCTCCTGCTGATGTTGTCTCCTAGGGCTCTACAGAGGCCTTTCCCTTCCTTCCCATCTCCCCTCCTCTCTTCCTGTACCTCCTGCATGCCACCTACCCTCTTCTTCCATAGCGGCCGGCCAGGGCCAGAGCCTGCTTGAAGGGACCGGGGTCTGGGGCCTTCTGAAAGGCTCCCGGGGTCACTGCGGACCAGCCAGGTGACAGATTCTCAATCCAAGCAGCGCTTCCCACGTAGGCAGCACCAGGGCACCCAGATCCCATCCCATCCCAGCTGAGAAACCCGGGGATCCATCCATTCTGCGGCCAGAACCCAGTGCAATCGCCCCCTCCGGATTTCCACGGGGAGGACTAATGGACTTGAAGGCGCTTACAGATGCCGGTGGAGCGGCGTGAAAACGGTGTCCTTTAGAAGAAAGTTGCTTTGCTATCAGGACTGCAGTTGGCAGCAGCAGCCACACTCCACCTAGGACAGCCTGGCGGCTCGCGTGCGCGCAGGGCCAAGGGGCTTGCGGGCAGCGGGACTCGAACGCGGAGCTGACAGGCGCCCCGCGGGGTCCGGTCTGTGGCCGCCCGCGCGTCCAGGTGGCCGCGACAAGAAGCGACGTGCACAGCTGTCTTTCGTCGGGCTAAAGCCTCCCCTCTCTGCCTGCCGCCCTCCGTCCCGCCTCCCGCCCCAGATATTATCTCAAGCGTTGCCAGTTTGATTCCAGAGCCCCGCTCGGGTAGGGTTCTTTTGTTTCTTTGTGTTAATGACAGTTCCCAGCATTGGCATGCCATGCTTGGTTAATTTCCTGGATCTCTTGAAGGCAGCTGGGGTGAAATTTTTTCTGCATCATCCTTTTTGGGGATAATTGTTTATGACGTCAGCCTGATTGATTTTTTTTTTTTTTTTGAGAGAGAGAGAGAGAGAGAGAGAGAGAGAGGAGTCACAGATGTATGGGGAGGCCACGGACACTGACATTCCTTCAGGGCAAACGGAGAAGAGAATAGGAGCTTAAAAGTGTTCGGCTAAGACTCCAGGCTGCACGGAATTAAGTTTATTGTTATTTTTTTCAATCCCCTCCGCAGCAAGCCGCTTAAGGTGCTCCTTCCATGCCGGCGTCCCCTGTTACGGTGGCGGCGTCTGAGAATTAATCTCGGGGACCCAGCAGGTTTCCGAAGACTGAGAGGAGGGGCGGGGGAAGTGCGTCACCAGGTGGGGAAGGGGCTGTGCGCTCGGCGACCAGCGGCAGGGGCCGGGGGTGGAGGAGAATGGGGACGGGAAATAGGTTCTGTGTGCTCTCCGCGGGTATTGTGTCAGGAGATGCGGGCTGGCTACCATGTGACGCGGTCCAGAGCTGAAGGGATTGGCCGAGGCAGCGCAGGCGGTGCAGCTCGTCGGCTGGCTGTTCCTCTCCCTTTCTCTCGCAGCATCTTCCCGGGAGCCTTAGGTGAAGCAGCACCAGCTGCATCCATGGCCTATCTTTGGGGTTAACACTTGTCTTTGGCTTCAGCAGCCACGGATACAGCCGATCGCCTGGCAGCAGCGGCAGCGGTGTTGGGAGGATTTCGCTGGGACCTGGAATCGTATCCTCCAGTATTTTTTCAGACTCCTTGGAAATTAAGGAATGCAATTCTGCCACCATGATGGAAGGTAGGATGCTTTCTGCTGTGGTTGACAGGCTTCGGGCAAGGTGATGGGCAGAGCAGCGTGGAAGGTGTGCAGCCTGCGTTTGTGGCTGGTCTAGAACCTCGTTGCCAGGATTTGCAAGCACAAGTACTGCAGTTTGCTTGCAGTGGACCAGGGCTCAGACTCATGGAATCAAACCACAGGGCTTCGCTTTAGCTCAGAACCTACAGAGCTCCCAGCTCTTTTAAAAGAGAAAAAACCTAAAGTGCTTGCAGGGAGCTGAGATAGAGCTACTAAAGAGCTTGCAGAGCAAATAAGTTGGGAGAGAAGATAAGGTTGTCTGCTCTGGGTTCCTGGGACGACACTGATTAAACATTTACAATGGAAACTTGTTTCCTGAAATTGACATTAGACAGGAGAGGTCATTGACAGAGTTATCCGTGCTGTAATTTTTACCGAACTGTTTAAAAAATTTAAATTCTTGTAGGATATGTTTATCTCTGCAATTTGTATTTGACTGTTGGGGTGACAGATGCAGCAAATTTGGTCCGTAAGATATAGTTTTATGGGGATGTTATAGCAACGGAATGAGCAATATGAGGAAAATATCCAGGCCTCTTGGCTCCTGAGTCAGGGTCTTATCAGGTTTTGTGTGTGTGTGGTTTTTAAAAATTTGTGCTTCCTAAATCGTTTCTTAGTCAAGCATCAAACGATTACTTACTGATTACCTTTTACATTTAATATTAAGTGTAAGGAGGAACTTTTCCTGAGATGTTGTTTAAACTATATTTTATTCTACTAAATTACCCTTGCAAGCCTAAAATAGTGACAGCTGAGATTGTCTCAAAAAAGCAGCAAGCTGATTAAAGAAGAAACAGGCAGCCTGACCCTGGCTTTGATTTTCTGTTTTCATACTACAGGATGGTGCAAAACTCCTGGCCTTTCCTAAGATGACAGGCAGAAATTTGTCCCCAGCCTGGATTTCACGATGCAGAATCCAGTGCATAATGGGTCTCAAATCAGCCATGAAAATGGCAGAGAGGCCACCTCTTAAACTAAGGTCTGTCCTAAAGATTTTAAACATTCTCTGGAAATTTACCAAAATGGAATGAGGAGAATGGTTTCAAAACAACAGCAGTGTAGCCTGTACATATTTGGCAGAAAATAATTCTTTTGCTCTCTCTATCATGTCAAACATTATTAATGTGATCTGGGTGAGTGAAGAATTTTATAGTCATGGCCCATAGATTTTAGAAAATAGCCTTAAAAAAGAGATTGGATATCATTTTTATATGGAGCCTTGTCTTGTTTGCAAAGGGCTCTCAAGCAGTTCTTTAAATATAGGCCTAAATAAACGGAGATTACCAATGCTCTAAGATTAAATCATTTTCATTAATTAAAAATGGATTTAATCTTTGAACAACAACACAAGACAAACAGAAAGAGTATTACTGGTGTACTTTTCCATTAAAAGCTCATGTAGATTGCCCTTTTCAGAAAAAAAAATCCTGTCTATAGAGATACTATAGTTCTTTGCTAAATTTTAGGTAGCATTGCTTAAAATTAAATCTGCACATATTCTGATTCAATTTAATCTTACACCAGGGAGTGAAACATCTTTCATTTTACTTCTTACCTTGCAGACTATGGAGTTAAAGTGTCTTCTTTGAAGGAAGTAACATTTATTGGTGTTCATTAATGATTCTTCCAGTAAAATTGTCTATTGTGCCATCCCAGAATGCCACTTCAAAGCCCTGTGAGAAGCTTATTTGAGCTGCCTAAACTGAAATGAGAATTGTAACAAAGACTTGTGTTGGAGCTGAATCAAATCCATTGCTCTGGGTTTGCCAACTTTACCTAATGAAGGACATTATCTTAGCACCTTTATGACTTATAGGTGACCCCCTGGATATCGCTAGTTACCTTCTGTCAGATTTTTGTAAAAGAAATTTGGAAAGGTGTTACCATTGACTTAAAAATTTAAATGAAACTAGTAACTTTTTTATCTACACATAGTTCCTACTTAAATGCTTTTCAAGACTTATCATCCTAATGGTTCAGGGATCTTAGAAAGGCCAGTGGGAATCTTCACTAGAAATCAATTTACCTATCAATGACCTTCCACATAGTCCCCAGTCTTTGGGGCAGTATATATACATCCATGTTTCTGATATTCTATCCCAGAATTTCACTTCTGAATTGCTCTTATTCTAAAGGCATGGGATAACAGTTATTATTTATATTAACCTCATCCCTAGTGGGCTGAGAGTGTGTCACCAAACATCCAGATAATTAAAATGATTCTCTTCTCAACTAGCACCTCTCTCTCTCTCTCTCTCTCTCTCTCTCAGTCATCTACATATATGCACTTTTCTAGAAAAGGAGAAAACCTACATTTGCACTTGTGTGTGTATATAGCTCTATATTCAGTAAAGTGTTTGGTCTGCTGCTCAGGAAAAGCATGGCCATGGCAACTTTTCAAAGCTACTTCTCTACTCTGTGTAAAACAAGAGCAAACAAATATTCATCTGAATGGCTCATAGTCTAGTCAAGTGTACTTGTTTTGATGGAACACGATATAGGTTCCATTCATTCAATGCATATTAGAAATTCTTGTCATAGATGAAAAACAGTGCTACCTCCTCAGTGATTCTAATATCATAGAAGGCAGTAAAATAATTCTGCAGGGACCTCCAGCAGGTTACCAGTAGTTTGTGGCTCCAAATATTTCTATTAAACAGTATTTTTAAGGGATTTGATTTGATGATTCCCTCACTCTTTATTTTTTAGCAATGGTTGGTATTGAGTTATGTCTTTCCTAAGAATGCCATATGATGTGGAACCTTATGTAGTATGAATGTGAAGGGAAAGATGATGAGCAAAGGGAATTATTTGCTAAATGGTGTATGTGTTGTCTAAGCGTACAACAGTCTATGTGATTAGGAAACCTCTTCAAGGGTTTTATTGATTTTTATGTTTTACTATTAAAATTTGAAAATGGCATTTTAGCTGTCTCTTCTAAGGTAAGTGAAAAAACCTAAGTCGGGGTTTTTTAGGACATCTGTAAGACAGTCTGGGAAGTTTTCTCTTGTCTGTGCAGAACTGCACTGAAGGTGCTTGTGTTCTTAGTTCCACACTCAGACTCTTAGGTATTATACTGGAAAGGTACGTTTTTTGGTGCCAATGATTTCATCTTATATAACACATTTTTAAATTAACAAGCATATTTTAAAGGTTTAATTATAATATGCAAGGTGATTTAATAAATTTTGTTATATTTACTATTCACAATATCCTGCATATAAGTATATTCTATATATAGTACTTTTGCAGTATTTTTTAAATTGCAAAAATAAAAAAAATAATACATTGAGGCAGAAATATGATGGAACTTGAACCCAAGTGCATTAAACAACAGTGCTCATATTTTGGAACCATCATAATATTTTAAATAGGAACCTTTTCTTTTTACTTTGCATCAGGTGGTCTTGGTCATGTTAACCTAATTGAAAACTGGACTTAGTAGCTTCTTTGGTGGCATATTCTGTCTCTCTCTGTCTTTTAAATATGAGTACTGACACAAGGTCTCAATTCCTTGTTAAGACCTATTATCTCCAAAATCATCCTTTAAAAAATTTTGAATACCTCTAGACTGACTGACCTTCTATGGTTGCAATGAACCTTATAACAGTAAAGGCTTTTTTTTTCCTATCTAGAAATGGAGTTTTACTTATTTGAAAAATTCTTTGATGTGATCATAAATGAACAATGCATTCTGAGGTTGGAATTGTTCATTTTCTAGTTAGCTAAGAAGTTTTAAAAGAAATGCTTCTGCCCAGCCTTCGTGGCTGAGTGGTTGAGCATAGACCTATGCACCTGAAGGTCATGGTTCGATTCCCAGTCAGGGCATATGCCCGGGTTGTGGGCTCAATCCCCAATGAGGGGCATGCAGGAGATAGCATCATCATTGATGTTTCTATCTTTCTCTCCCTCCCCCTTCTCTCTGAAATAAATAAAAAAAATTTTAAAAATGCTTCTAACTTTCCTACTGATTCCCTTCCTAGAAATAGTGAAGTTATTCTGGAAAATCTTAAAGTATGCATACGAGATTCTAATATATGTTCTATCATTTATGTAATTCCTCTCCTTCTTCAAGGTTCTGTGTCAGAAAGAGCCTCCTTATATGTATGTTTCTATCCAATTTCAGGGGTCAACTCTAAATCTCTCAAAAGAACATGCAGTCTTTTAAAAAAATTAACTTAGATAAACCATTCTAGAAGATTCTGGAAAATTCTTCCTGTTGAATTTGGCACGTACACTATCCATATTTTAAATAAACAAGTTGCAGGAAGTCACCAACTCGTCGTTTTCATATTCCTTAAAGTTTGTTTATGAATTGCTCTCTTGAAACAAGTTTTCCCATAGAAATAATAATATAAATGATTGATTCTCACACTTGTCCGTTGAAGACTATTAAACCGATTATCTAGTTGAAATGCTAAATGTTTTGCTATGAAGTATGTAAAGAATAGTACAGTTACTATAGTAATTATAGTAACACAATTGCATTAAATTGTTTTCAATTTTGAATGTTGCTCTTTGAGGGAAAGAAAACTTAATTAAAGGACTCTGAAAAGATAAAGAGAAAATTTGAAGGGGATTTTTAGGTATATTTTCAGAAGTTTTAGAGACTCGTGACACTGAATTTTTCAATTACATTCCATTTTACTACAATACTTGTGTTTTACATTTTCTCAATTTCAATTTTATCATATCCACTGCTATTAAATTGTGATTATTTTCATTATGTAAACTCACCAGTGGAATTAAGAAAGGTAAAGAGAATTTACTGAGATGACTGTAAAGTAGTTGGAAGGGAGAAGAGCGGTGAAGGCATTATAATGAATTTGGGTTCATGTCTGAAAAAGTACCTGAGGAAAAATGAACTGAGTGAGGAAGTGGTCACAGATAGAAGGGAGTTGGGGAGTATGGTAAGGGCATGATCCCCTTGAGGAGAAAGTGGG